AGAAAGAAAGAAAGAAAGAACGAATGAACGAACACCTGGCATTCCATTCACATGTGTATAGTTGCCCATTTAGAAATTTAAATAGAATTCAGATAGAAATCCAGTCCTTCCTCTGATTAATTCTACTTTATACTGCAGTTTTAAACATTCTGGTTTTTACACTGTTTTTATGCTGTATTTCAAAACATGTTTAAATGGTTGTGAACTGCCCAGAAAACTTTGACTGACGGGTAATATATAAATGTGATAGAGAGATAGAGAGATGGAGATAGATATTTAATTTCTACCCTAGTAGGTAGTAGTCAAAATTGGCTGGATGGTCCACAGCATAATAAAACAAAATGTTAAACCTTTGATACTCAGACATTAAAACAAAGAGTTAACAGCAGGGCCCAATACACAAAACTAAGATGAAGAAATCTGATTGCATGCTGTCCAGTGCCTGCCAGTAGATACACTGGATCTGAAATAGTGTGGAGGGGATGGACTGTGGCCCACATGGAGTGCCTGTCCAGGAGCTCAGTGTTGACCATCAGCTGCAAGGCCCTCTTCCTTCTTAGGGCTTTTATATTTACAAAGGCTCAGACTAGACCATTTGCTGAGATGCCTTTGCTGGCCCTTCCCAAAGATGGCTGGATGTCCTCTGTAAAATATGCCTACCCAGCCTTTGGAATCAATGCAGGGATCCCTCCTGTGTGTGCCACCCCTTGTGGAAGTAAGCGGGGTGGCTGCTAGGAGGAGGGGGGCCTTTTCTGCTGCTGCTCCCTGCATTTCGAACACTCTCCCCAAGGAGATTCACCTGGCACCTTCCTTTTATTCCCTTCAGCACCAGGTGAAGACCTGCCTTAAAAAACAAAACAACCTTTTAGTAATTATACTAATCCCCATTTGTGCCCTAAAATGATATAATCGATATATTGGATTTTATATTTATTAATGTATAGTTGTTTATTGTTTTTATAATGGTTTTTAATTGTTTGATTGTTAGCTGCCTAGAGACGCCATGGATGCAATAGGCAGCATATAGATGTTTTAAATAAATAAATAGTAGCTCACATAGTAGTGCAGACCCCCCCCACCCCGATGTGAGGATGGGGGCCAGGGCTGCAAGGGATGTATGGGGCCCACAGGCATGGCCCTGCTTCCCCTTCATGAGACTATTACGCTCTGGATTGGGATCAGCTGAACAGGGACAATTGAAGGCTGTGAACCATTTATGACACACGAATGGACCCCAACTTATTCCTTTCCCCTGCAGCCACTTGTTGATATGCTTTGCACCCAGAAGAGAGACAGGACAGGAAATGCCATTTTCTGTTCCCGCTCTCTGGCTTGATTCTGGCATGCTCATTAAGCCAAATCAGGAGGGCATGAGTGGGAGTTGGTTCTTTGAGTCCTCAGTGTGGTCTCATTTGGATGGAATGCATTCAAGAGAAATAACTCCAAGAAGCACAACTAGTGTCATTTGCCCTGGCTTGAGCTTGACAAAATCACCAAAACACAGCCTGCTAAAAGGGTGGCAAAGTTGTTGTTGCTGTTGGTGGTGGTGGTGGTGGTGGTGGGAGGGGGCTGAAAAGTTGATCACTATTTTTGTCAGAGACTCTTATCTCCATCATCCTCACTGCACTAAGGTCAACATCAACCAGGTCTGGTCCAAGCAAATGGGACCCCCCAAAACATACCCCAAGCCATAGCATATACCACCAGAGGCAAGTTTTCTAGCACAAGTGGCAGAAATTCTCACAAGCTATTCTCCTTTCTGCCAGGAAAAGGTTTAGTTGTGAATTATAGAAGAGATGGAGAAGGTGCAAGATGCTGGGCACCAATTCCCCATCATACTTCACCATTGGTGATGCTGGCTAGAGCTCACTGGAGTACCCCTCCGCCTCCCTCTTGCTGTGTTTCCTCTTTCCATACATAGTTCGTCTTGTGGAATTATTCAGATTGTCATTGAATTTTATGTTCTGATGAACTTTTGGGATTTGCAGCCCACTCTTAAGAGCCTTTTTCCACAGCAGCCTGAACTGTGCAAGCATCCACCTTAATCAAGCTATTTAAGCACAGCCAATCAAGGACTGATGCTGCAGGACACTTAGATAAAATAGTTGTGATTCTGCTGAGAATTTGCTGCTCACAAGCAAAACAAAAAACACAATGTAACACTGAGAATAACCAAGTACTGAAAAGTGATATATATTCAAAGAGCACCATCTGTCGGTCAAATACATTCTTTACATTTTTCAGTTAATATCTAAGCCATGTCATGGACTGGACATTGTGGAGGGCTTTCATTTGTAGGGTTGGCAGAAGTTGAAGATGACTTAATTGTTCATAACAACAACAAATGATTATATTGAACATAAAGAATGTGTAAGAGTTCTGCTGATTTATAATTGCCAGTCACGGGAGAGGAGAAGGAATTTCAGCTAGTTCCAGAGACCCAGAGAAGCTCATCTTGGACTTTATGACTGTTACCATGAAGAAAAAAAATGTGTGTAATTGCCAATCATATCAAACAAAAAAATGTATCCTAATGTAGAAGCAGGAAGCTGCCTGTGATTGCAATCTAGCACTCAAAGAAAAATGCAGGCCTTCTACTTGGAATGGACTTCCACAGGAGTCGGTTGAGGCCCCATCGGTGAGGGTGTTCAACGACAGGCTAGACATGCACATGGTGGGCATGTCATAGTGGAGCCAGCTGGAGCCAGGGGTCAGACTAGATGGCCTGGGAGACCCCTTCTGACTCACTCTATTTCTATGTTTCTAATTTTTGAGGACAGCTTATAGGCCCCTAGAAGTACCTTATTGTATATCTATGTAAACTTAACTGTGCATTGTAAACTCTTTTCCAAAGGGTAAGTTTCCTTTCATGAATTTGGTTTCAGGAATACTGGTGCCCCTTTCAGTTTCACAATACTTAGATATGCCTTTGCATATATGTGCATTATTTATGGTTTGGCAAGTTCCATTAATTTGTGTCTGGTTAATTTTTAAAACATACATTTAATAGACATATATGGATTATATATTCAGGAAGCAGTTTAAAAAAATAAATTTATTTTTAATTTTTGCAGGTGTAAGTACTGCAACATTTTATATTTTCAACAGGTATAAGGTGGTTAAATTGAAATGTGCATACAAATCTTTTAAACATTTTTCATATACCTTTTTATATACTAAACAACTGAAGAAAACCTATGGCCTACACATATTTGATTATTTCTAGTATTGAATGATAGGATTTCACATGATTTCTTTTCTTTTGCTTAATGACTTGTTTGTAGCTTACACAGATGTTACTTCATCAGACCTCTTGGATATTATTCACCTTGACTAGATTATTTATATGTCAGTTATTTTATTGCTTCTTAAATTGTAGATCTTGCTTGAGGATGTTGCACAATAATGTCCAGATCTTGTAAGATATGCTAATATTGTTGAGAAGCTACATTGGAGGAGGACTGGGCACAATCTCAACAGTGAGCTGCTGCTCCACCTTCTCTCCTGGAAGACAGCATGTGGTCCCTGTAAACTCTTGGACTTGTAGTTTTAGAGACTGAGCGCAGTACCTTCTTATGTGACGGACTTTCTCATCTTCCAAAGTTCCCCAGATGCTCCTATGCACAGGCAGGGTTGCTGCCTGTGCAAAGAAGCGACATGTGTTCAAAGAAGCCTTACCAATGTTGTCTGTAGTATTTTGGCGAGTCTCATTCCTCCTAGTAGACTTTGAACTCTTTGGCTGGGAGCCCACAGAGTTTTTATGAATACCTAAGGTAACAACAGGTTTGGAGCAGGTTTTGGTAATGCAACTGGAACACCCAGTCTTCCCTTCTCTTTGTGATCCTGTCTACCTGACAACATGGTGGTTGTTTACGGGCTTTCTGTGATTGTGCTGTTGAGGAGCAGGCACAAACAGTACGTTATCTCATTCGAACTCTTATTGTTCCGCTTTCCCTTTTGCTGCTGCAATCATGACATTATACCAGCAAGCATCAGCAGCATCAGAGGAATGTACTGCTTATGAAATAAAGCCCATATACTGAAGAGGAAAGTCTTAATAGCAAAGGTAACTTCAGTAATTTAGGGTAGAATAGTCTTTGTTTTTAACCAGATGCTGCCCAGGTATGTCGGGATAGATTCCAATGACCCCAGCTGCCATGGCCTGTAGAAAATGACAAGGAAGCCCCACACCCTTGCATTCATATTCTTCTTGGGACTTTTTCTTCCTAAAACGAATAAAGTCTGTATCAGGCTAAATTCTGTAACCTGCACCTTTTTTAAAATTTTCCTAGGAGGGGGGGGGGGGGGGACTACATTTGCTTTGTTTTGTTGATTTCTCTGCATATTTGCTGATTTTCCTCAAGACAGGGAGGGAGGGAGACTCAGTAGCCCTTGGGCCAACCTCTGGAAAGCATTCACTGCCGCAGTGATGGAGTGCCTGTTACACTGCAAGTGGATCCATCCATGTTATCTTTGGGTAAGCCTAGGAAAGGCTATTTCGGACTTGTCATGTTTCTAGTCAGCTCTCTGGCTTTTGAGCTGTTTTCAGGCATTGCCCACATGTTGTCAGTATATAGTTGTAGTCGTTTCATTAAAGTTATCAAGTAGTTGAATTGCGTACCTACCACATCTTGCATGTATTCAGCATTCACACATAAAATACACAACACAACTCTGGGCTTTATGCAGAGTGTTTCTGGAGAAATAAGTTCCTAGTTATTTGTGCCTCACCTAATTATTTGTCCCTAACCCTAACCCTACACTTGAACTGAGGCAATCACATATTGTATTATAGGTGCTTCATCAGTCAGTTGGGAAGGCCTGGGCAGCTGCTGGTCATATTAATCTTGAATAATGAACATAGTCTAAGCAATGATAATCATACAAATGTGGAATACAATATTCATGACACAATTCCATCACCACCTGCAGGGGTTTTTGTGATACAAAATGGTACTGAGCACAGAACCTGAAAAACTAGAACAAGAAAGACAACCAGCTAGAAAAAATAGCAAATAGATGTTTGTTTTTAAAAACCAGAGTGTAGACAATGGGTGTATACAATGGAAACATTTTCAGTCCACATCAGTGGATGGTAGAACAGAACTTCATTTTAAAAATGCAATAATTAATATGGTATATTCATAAAGTACAGTGCTGGAAGTTCTTGCCTTCTATAGCATTGCTTGCATCTAAAAATATACTGATTTTCCCATTTATTGCTGTTGCAAAGCAATCCTCCATATTTGTGGCATCTGGTGGTGGTGGTGGTAAAAGAAGCACATCTGTTAGGAAGCTCAGGATGCAGATAACTGGAGCTCCTCTCCTTTTATCTTGTGCTCATGTATGCATTTATATTTAAAGACTGTTTGGCAAGTATTCCAGTAAGATGCAGCTGGTGATGACCATATGTGAACCTATGTTTGTATACCTATCTGTTTGGGAAGAGGGTCCTCCCATTCAATTCCTTTTCTATTAATGAGGCGAAAAGGAAATGTGGTGTCTTGACACCTTGCTGAACCACTGTAAAAGTAGGAGACATCTGGAGATTAGACTCTACATCAAATCAACCTGTCTTTTCATAGCAATATAAATTTTGTGTAACGAGAAATGCAGCTTCACACTTATCATTATTTGTCCCATCTGTAATACACAGTATAGCTTAGTTTTGAAAACTATCCTGAACTGAATTCTAGGATTTTATTGCAAACATGATTTAACAGAAATATCTTTCAGGTACAATCCCTTTAAAAATGCTAAGGTAAGCAAGAAATAGACACCTCTCTTTCCTTCATCTTAGCTACTTGCATCAAACTTTCAGAAGCAGAAAACATGAATTTTAGCTGTTATCATACGGAATGAGATGGGAAGCTTTTATACAAATCTGATGTACTATATTTATATATCATCTATGTGTGCATAACAAATGTCTGAATATTTAACTTCTTCCCACTGAGAAACTATGTTTTTCACACTAATCTCCTTAATTATACAGTGATGGTTTCAGTTTCCCATAGAGAAACAGCATTTCATTTTTTCATGGATACAAATAAAACACTCGCATCCATCTATTATGATTGCTGAAAAACATATAAAAATAGAAAACCAGTATAATTTAGCACTGCTTATTCAATCTTCCAAATGCTATTCAGTTCAAATATTATAGAATACACATTAATAATCATGTACATTCATAAGGAAATATACAGAATATTAAGTACACCTCAGAATGATGTATGGTTTATTACCTAAAAAACTCCCATATGGCTGTAATATAATTTAATCTCCTCATATTCTTAATACTTCAGGTCAGGACATAGGGCTGCAATTATGGTTGGGCTAACTGGATACAATTGGTATTCTTTTAAAACTCGTAGAGTTTTGTCATCCCAAGTACAAAGTCTATCAGAAAATTACAGAGGGCTGCAAAATGGATCCAGCAATGCTTATAGGCAGGTCATGCAGACACTCAGACAGTCCAGAAGGCTACAATCCTAGATCAACCTACCAAAGGTACTTCCAGGCAGAGAGAATGCAGTGATACCGATCAAATGGCTTATTAGGGATGTCAGGAAAATCCACACTGGATGCAGTTAAGTGTAGATTTCTATGACGCCAGCTCACAGATTCTGTAGTGGACCAGCTTTTCCTAATCACACAGAATCTGAAGACTTCTTGTCTGTTTTTTCCCCACTTTCTGTAATTTTATGCAAATTTAGTCAAAGAAAAAGTTAAATTAAAAACACTCACATCAACCAAAAATCTAACATCCCCATAGACCAAAGTACGCAAATGCACATTCTTGAGCATTTTGAGCAGAACTGCACATTTTCAGAAGTTGGATTTTCACAAATGTGTACAAATGCATTTGCACTAAATCTGATTCCACCAGTGATCTGACTATGGAACAAAAGGTGCTTGAACATGGGATGAATTTATACATCCCTAGACATAATGCAATTCCTCATATTTGTTGCTTAACAGACTTTTTGCAGTAAGAAAACAGATAGAAAAATATATAAGAATTCATTGTAAAGCACACAAGGGCTACAAATGGAGGACAAGGATGCTGGGAATCCACGCCTCTGTAACAGTTCATGAAATGATGCAGGCTGATTGTACAACAAAAACATCATCTGGAAGCATCCTAAATCCAGTGGCAATGAATGGAAATCCAAAGGAGTTTTATCTGCCAGCAGGCATAACAGAGATGAACTAGCTCAGGTTGTGAGGGCCAATTTAAATCGTACAGACAATGTATGGGGAGGGGAAAGAACTGAAAAGCATTTTTGTGTGGTAGGTACAATATTTATTCATCAACTCAAGTACACCCAGGCTTTCCCTGCCAGAGCCAATTACTCCTGTGATGTGCAGCAGGTACCTGCTGATGTGTGCAATTGGATAGATGTATCCAGCAATGGGTTTTCAAATTACCACGTTGGGATATCTTCTCATACAAGTATTTTTAGCAGCCTACAGGGTGGGGCTGAAACATACAGTTCTTCTAAATGATACAGTGGTCAGGGACTACCCTTGGCTTTTGGGTATAGCAACTGATACTACTAAGATTGAACCAGTGTTTGTTCATCTATTCTTTCTTGTTGTGAAACTGATTTACATGGCAATCTTTACCATATATATTCAGGTGTCAGTCAGTGGGAGTTACTCTGTAGAAAATGTGTTTAGGATTACTGCCTAAGTCACAAAGTTCAAGGAAGAAGATGTAGTATGTTGTATGAAACACACTGCAGAATCAAACCTTGCTTTGAGAGACTCAAGGTAGGTGGCAGTATTAATATTGCATTAAGAGCAAGAACAAAGCTAAACACTGCATATCTCTTGATCTTATTCGGAAGTAGGAAACAGTCCTGGGAATAGCCTGCAGGAGCACTGAGTTACCCTGACAAATTCCGTATCAGGCCAGGGCAGCCTTCCTCAACCTTGCACCTTCCAGGCACTCTTGGACAGCAACACCCAGAAGTCTCAGCCACCGGCTCTGCTGGGTAGGAAATCTGGAGTCCAAAGGACTCTTAAGCCAACCAGTTTGGGAGTTTGGGGAAGGCTGGCCTAGAGACAACAGATTGAAAACACAAGGTCCAAAACAGTGACTAGAACCCCCCACCCCTTTCAAAATGTTACTTGACGTGTGACATACTCTGAAAAGTAGCAAGACACATCCACAGCAAAACTTTTTCTCAACTGTTGCAGGTTGTTTTAAAAAGATGGAATTTCTTGCTGTTTCCTGTTTTTCAGTTTTTGCTTTTTTAAACACCAATATAAGTCCACCATATGCTTATTGTGCAATTTCATAGTAGAAGTTGCGCAGGCTGAACTCAACTGCAGAAAATCCTGGTCGATCATCAACGCTGAAAAAGGGATACAAATGTTTTGGTTAGGCATGAATGCTCTTTGCTTCCTTATTATTTAAGGTCTGTCCAGCAATTTCTGGCTGTCTTCTACCTCCCTCATACAGCATTTACGGAACAATGTTCTGGGAGTCTGTTTTCAAATTTTGAAGATAGCATTTTGATTAAACAGATAGGTGCTTCTGTTTAACCAAAAAACAAGAAAAAAATCTCACAAACTAACATGCCGTGGAGCTAAAAGATGCCAGAAGGAGAACGCATAGATGCTCCCACCAGTTCTGACCTGTCCCCAATCACATGAAGGAAGTAGATAATGGATGTGATATGACCCATCTGTTAAGATCCATATTTGAAAGAAATTTGCGATGATCAATAAGGTGGAAACACAAAATCTAGATGCCCACTTGGTTCTCTTGTTGAGGTTAGGAGACCCGAGCCAGTTCATGAGCTTCCCTCAAAGTCCAGGAGTGAAGGTACATCTGAAGTGTTCCCTTGCTTTGGAAGGGTAATACGTAGATCTCCACTAAACAGGTCAAAATTCCCTTGACTATTCTGGACAAGCAGGTACCAACATTCATGCAATAGCCCACTGTTTTCTGAGGGGTGTCTCACTTATCCTCAGCTACTATCACTGGGACAGCTGTGGTCTAGCTACCCAGCTGAAGCAAAGGTTTAGTGGCCATTTCAGTTATGGTACAGATTTGGTGAAGTGATAAAATCCTTCCTAAGACTCTGGTGTGCCCGCAACTGGAGTATTGTGTTCAGTTTTGGGCCCCTCATTACAGGAAGGATATAGCAAGGTTAGAGCCAGTGCAGCGTAGGGCCACAAGGTTGGTGGCCAGTCTGCAGGGGATGCCATATGAGGCAAGGCTGAGGGAACTGGGTCTCTTCAGCCTGGAGAAGAGAAGACTCAGAGGGGATCTGTTGGAGACATACAGGTATGTGAGGGGATGTCACATGGAGAAGGGTAGAGACCTGTTCTCCCCTGCAGAGGAAGGCAGGATGCGCTCCAACGGAGCCAAGCTCAGGGAACCAAGGTTCCATTTAGATGCCAGGAAGCACTTCCTGACAGTTAGGACCTCGAGGGTATGGAATGGGCTTCCACGGGACGTTGTTGAGGCCCCATCCGTGAGGGTGTTCAAAGATAGGCTGGACATGCACATGGTGGGCATGTCGTGAGCGGAGCCGGGTGGAACCAGGGGTCCAACTAGATGGCCCGGGAGGCCCCTTCTGACTCGTTCTGTTTCTATGTTTCTATGTTTGTATTCTTATTGCAATGACTAGGATAGCTTGTCATTGATGGAATGGTTCGGTTTGTATACTGATAAGGTGAAGAGAAACACAGTGGGCTAGTTCAGAAATAACCCTCAGAGCCTAGGCAAGGCTCAGGTTTCCAATCTTCCCTTCTTGTATGAATGCCAAGAAGAGTTTGGAAACTTTCACATCTGTTTGCAGAATTGTCCAAATCCAGACAAACTGGGCTTAATTTAAATTTGATTAGTAGAAACATGCCAACTCCCTCCATAACTTATGGTTGAAACACTGGGGGTGTGATGGGGAGACAGAAACAAAACTAGAAAGGTGAGAACAAATCTGAATCAAACCAACCAGTGTTTCTCAGAACCCACCCCTTGTGAATATCATTATACTTACTTGTATGTCCAACACAATTTCATTAACTCATAGATCTCAGGTGGACAACCTGATGGACTTTCCATTCGTTCTCCTCTTTCAATCATCTGTGCAACCTCCCCTCCTTTCATACCCTGCAAAAAGAGTGATAATCGGTTACAGAACAACAATAACAACAACAGGATCAGCTATGCCTTCAATAGGAACAACCAACACCCAGGTTCCTGCTTATGTGGCAATCCCATTTGGGCATTGCTGTCCCAAGAGGTTGCATAGCCAAGAACCCGCCAGGTACCAATCAGCAGTGCTGTTTGGTTCCTGGGAGGCAGAACTCAGGGGAGGTGGCCAAAGAGAGGAAAATTCCTTCTGCTTCCAGGGCATATAATAGAAGCCTCTATGTGGCTTTGATCACTGCAGCTCCAGACATTCCTAAAACGCTTTCCTTAACTCTTGCACAGCTATGGACAAATTTTAGTACCCAATTGAAGGGGTAGCTATAGACAGGACTGGCTGTTAGGCCTCAAGGTTTTCATCTTCTTTGTAGCAATACGTTTGCATGAAACAAAGCTTTACTATTGTTTTCTGTTACAATAGAATCGTGTTGCACATGGTAGGTATTGGTCCAGATCCATTCCAAGGGGTACGTTGGGTTAGGCACTCTAGTCCCCAAAAGATGGGGGTTCCCTTAATGGGCTCTCGGGATAGGACTGGAAAGCTTTAGCCAACCTGAGGGCTGACAAAACTGCTGGTCACCCAGGTTGCTGGGGAGGTGGATACAAATAGTTTCTGCCATGATGGGAACCCCAAGAGCCCTTTTCTTCCTCTGTTACCTCAAGCTGGGATCAAGAACCAGCCAGCAGCTGGGTTGCCTGATGACCATTTCCATGCCCTATGTCATGAGTGGTAACCAACAGCATGGCCATCTTTACCACACGTAATTGACCACCAACCCCTCCAACCCATGCAACCAATATGTACTGCTGCACCATTTCTAGATTATTTTTCTCTCAAAGAGATGCAGTAATGGACAGATTTGAATGATCTCCATGTAGGATTTCTCTTTTGCCAAACTAAATCACTTATAGGTCAATGCTTAAGGGCTAGGAAGGAAAGTTCAGTAGTTAAAAACAAAATATGCCTACCTTATATGGTTTTTGTCCATAAGAAAAAGCCTCCCACATTAATACACCGAAACTCCAAACATCACTCTTGCTTGAAAATTTGAAGAAGTTCATGCATTCTGGAGCATACCACTTGACTGGCCATTTCCCATAATGTTCTGCCTAGAATGATCCCCACGACCATCAAAGAAGACAATTAGTTATATTATATTGCCACGGCCTACAACAATAATAGGAAACATTTTTGGGATATTCTTGTTCAGTCTGTGCTGAAGGATTAGGATGAGATGCATCTGCAGTAGGGAGTGGAAAGCCAGCCACTGCCATAGGTCACTTTCGCCACTGCAGCACCAGGCTGTGAATCAATTATGTCAATTGGAGGCAAACTCTCACTTGAGCAGATAAGGCATAGCTGGCTTCTTGCTTTGCTCAGCTCCCAGCAGTTATGGCTAGTATGTTTCGTTCTTACCAGAATGTGTGTTCCAAGAAAAATGTCATACTAGCATTCCCCTGATATTTTATACTGAAATGCAGCACATACATTTAATAAATAAAACAAGCTACAGCATGACCATGTTTTAAAAGGACTAACTATAGAGATTTGCAAGAAGAAATAGTCCGAGCTATTTTTATCTCTGAATGAGTTTGTAGCAGAAAGTGTGTCCTGAATAAATATCACAATACACCCTGACAATATGATGAGAAATCTCAGTTAAGAGGAGTTAAAGTGTGAAATATTACCTTGTAATAATCATTAGAGCCAAGAGCTTTTGACAGTCCAAAGTCACTGATTTTGGCATAATGTTGTGTAACCAGCAGAACATTTCTTGCTGCTAAATCCCTGTGTACAAAGTTGTTTTCTTCCAAATATTTCATTCCCATGGAAACTTGATGAACCAGCTCTATGAGGTTCTTTTCTGTGACATCTCTTTTAGAAAGAAAGAAAGAAAGAAAGACCTTTTCATTCCTCATTATTTCATTACCCAGTTGTATTGTATTTTAACTGGGCTTCATAGCAGTATGTCTGTTCTTACATGACTGTGAGGGTTGGGGTTTAGATATATACATAAATATATGCCTACTTTACAGCTCCACTGTGTGCTTATACTTCTTAAGAATGAAGACAAACCTATTATATGCCTGTATTTCTTAATAAAGGACCCCCCAGTCCCAATGGTTATCATATATGATATCATAGGATATATTAGACCCAATATGTAATGATAATAGGAAATCTTTTTTGGTATATAATTCAAGTTATTAAAGTTCAATTTGTCCTGAAGACTAGGGTGAGATGCATCTTCAACAAGGAGAGGATAGTCAGCCAGTAGTAGAGAACTGAAAGGAATAAAGTTACCTGGAAAATGTCCCAACTAAATTGGCTTTGAGAGTTGAACTTTCAAATCTGCTGCCATTAAATGTAGTGAACCAGCTCTATGGCTACCAATCTGGATGGCTATCGAAGGGGATTAGGCAAATTCATGGAGAATAAGGCTATCAATAGTCCTGAGGGCAATAGAATTCTTCTAGTGCCAAAGGCAATATGTCTTTGTACACCAATTGTTGGGGCACATAGGTGGGAGGGTAAATGGCACTTCTGTCCTTCTTGTGAGTATCTTACAGACAGCTGGTTAGCCCCTTTGTGAACAGAAAGGTGGATCAGGGGGACCCTTGGTTTGATCCAGCATTCCTCTGATGAGCATGCATCTCTTAGGCAGACATTTTATTTATTTACACTTCTGTACTGCTGCTCAGCAGCTTAAATACTCTGCGTGGTTCACAATTAGAAGCATGAAGTACGGCACAATAGTTTTATACTCTAATTTAAAAAAATTTAAAGTAAAACCCAGAATAAAATCTAGCAGCAATGCAAGGAGATTTAAAATGCAGGAGAGACATAAAACAAGAAACGGAAAAAAATAAAAGTCTGGAAAAATAAGGTCTTCACTTGGCACTGAAAAGAACACAATGCATGCATCACATCACCTCTCTGACAAGTTCATTCCACAATGGAAGTGTCACTAATTTAGAACAGTCTCTGTCTCACCTGGATTTGATGGAAAAGAACTGGATGTCATCTACTGATGACACATCAGTCCATACCTCTGGATAACCTCCTCCAGAGGATTCAGGTAGATGATGAAAATGCACAGGGGAAAGAATATTGCCCTGTGGAAACATATAGCATAGCTCTCATAGCAGAGAGCAAAAATCCTTCACGCACCACCTTTTGGAATAGGCCATCCGAGTAGGGGCAGAACTTCAATGCAATGTCACCACTTCCCAACCAGGACAACTTGATCAGAAGGATACTGTGGTCAGTGGTATTGAAAGCTGCTGAGAGATGCAAGATAATCAACAGGCTCTATATCGAGAGAGGGGCCCTGTTGATATATATATATTTATTTATATATATATGATATATATATAAATAAATTCAAGGGTGCCTGGAATTAACAGGCCATCACCTGCTCAAGTGCCTGCCGGCTACCTGTTGTTTCTTCATTCAGCTTTATGTTAAGCTGCTTCAGAAGTGTCCTAATAATCCCTCCCTCCCTCCAATGAAAGAATTTACAACTTTCTGGACCCAGCTGGGTATCCCTTCCTTATTAGACATTAGCCATGAAGGGTCAGCATCAAGGTAGTTGACAATACTTTGTCTGTTGGCTTCCCTGTGCTTAGCTCCCCAGACTCTAGTCTGCTTTGCAGTGGCCCAGAGTCAGAATTCCTGGCAAGCACATCCAGTGTTTGCAGGGTACCTGCCAGGAATCAAGTCCCATGCATTGGGCAAGCAGCACCTTTCTACATCTGGCACTGCTATGTCAGGCGGAGAACAGGCTGGCGCAACTGCTCACAGCACCTCTGTTCTGTGCCCACTGCTGCTGACATTGGCCGCACTGGACAGGGAAGAAGATAGGCCACCAGGAATGGTGCCTGGCATGACCGCTCACAATGCCCCTCTTGCGCATTCTGCAGCTGCTCTTTGGGTGACTGCACCTGATGGGGAAGGTTGCCAGTTGCACAGCTTGGGTGCTCATGGACATCCTCTTGGCCTGACTAGACTGAGCATGAGAACAAGTCTATGGATGCTAGAGGGACAGATTCTGAAAGGGTCCCTCCCAATCCTAATTGCACTGTTATGCTTTGCTGTTTCTGTGATGTTTGTGTGCATTCATTTTCTTGCATTATTTTTATACTGACTTTAAAATTATATTGTAGATAATTCTTATGTAAACCACATAGATCCTATTATGTCAAGTGGTATCTACACAGTTTAATTTGTTTTATCATTTGTAGCAAGCAAGCAAGCAAGCAAGCAAGCAAGCAAGCAAGCAAGCAAGCAAGCAAGCATACCTGTGTTGTATCAAATATTTATTCAAGGGGCCAAGTTCAGCCATTTCCATTACCAACATCCAGGATTCAGCTTCACATATACCAATCATTCGGACAATATATGGGTTATCTAGTTGTTGCATTACATTTGCTTCTCTTAGCAGTTCATCTTTTAAGGCTGGATCATTGTTTTCATTCTTGAGAATTTTCACAGCTACTGTCTTCTTTCCCCTGCAAACGAATTTCGAAGCAACTTAGTTATATGCAGTGCAGTTAAGTATTCTTAATTCTTTGGCACTTTTTCTGTCTATTCCATAATCTAGTTAATAGAAGATAGAGAGGCTACACTGCTTAGCTTCTGTGCTGCATCCAGTCTAGCAAAGCTCCTTAGAATATACTTTGCTGGGCCAGAGGTGGCCCTCAGTCCTTTCACAGCTAAACCTTTTATAAAAAAGGGGGACAGGCACAGGAGAAATTTCTCTGTCAGTTACACAGGTTATTACCTAGACACCCAATCAGATCAAGAGAGGAAATGCTGTATTTTCTTCCTTTCTTTCTGACAGCCACAAATCCACTCACCTTTACATGCAAAAAGTACTTAAATATAACCACTTACCTAAAGCAAGCCCACTTCGATTAGATGAGTCTGATTTCTGACTTAATACATATAGGATTATGTTTCTAAGTAAACACAGCTAGTTGCCTAGCTGACATTCTATGAAAATATCTATGAAAATTTAAGTAATTAAGTGTACTAAGTAACATTTAATGTACAGGATAACTAAGTAAAAGTGCATATGGTCCATTTTCATTTTTAATTACTGAATGAAAACTACTTTATATACATTTCAAATTAATGAATGAGTATGTAGATTATAAGCAAACTAATCTTAGTAATTTGATGGAGCACATTCCTTTTAAAGTGTAAAAGGAAACCGTCATATTATTGTTATTATTAACACTATTTCAATACCACCCATAGCTGAAGTTTGGTGCAGATTACAAAGGCAGATAAAAAACATTAAAAATACAATATAAAATACAGATAATAATAACATTGTCATGAAAATAACAATACAATGTTTAAAATTCAAATTTTAAGCCAAATTTAAAAAGCTACAGTAGCTTACATGAATGAAATCAAAAGATGTTAAACGATTGACATACTGAGCCAATATAATATAAAATTAATTAAATGCCCTTTTAATCCGGCACTGAAAAGATATTACAGTTAGAGCCAGACTAACTTCAGTGGGGAGCCTGTTCCAAACTGGGGAACTGCCACTGAGAAGGCCATTCACCTTGTTGCTACCAACTGTGCTTCTCTTGGAGATGGCAACTGGAGGCAGTCCCCAGATTCTGATCATATTGTATTGGTAGGTTGGGAGAGGAATTAGATTAGATATTGCAGTCCCAATTGGTTAAAATCAGCCCATTTTGGACTGGGCTGAGAAGCATTTCGGCAGACCACGCAAGTGGGATGGAATTGAAAATACGTCCCTGTTACTAATCTGGTCCCTGTTATTAATCTGGCTACTGTATATTGTACAAGCTGCATGTAGAGTGTATGGCAGGGTTCTAGTTTAAAGAGTACCAGATGACAGTTTGCTGGATATTCTGCCTGATTCAACTGCAATAACACTGAATAAATCCTGAAGTTTCCTGGATGCAAGAGATTTTATCCCGGAAACACTTAGCAAATATATTGTAGAAGGCCTCAGAAGACTTTAAGATGTCCAAGGAGCCAGGATGAAGTAGGCTCTAGACAATCCTAAAGAGCTCCACTGGGTGGCAAAAGAGGACTGAACAGGTTTAAAGCACTTAATAACAATTCCAAAAGACGTATAACAACAAGAATAGGTAAGAGTTAAAATGGAGGAAGAGCAATAAAGCAGCATTTCAAACTTTACTTACTTTCTCATTTCATAGGTTCCTTTTTTTACTGTGCCAAAATTACCAGAACCAAGTTCATGTTCTTCCAGGGTCAGCAAATTTCTATCAAGGGTGACATTTTTAGCTTTTACTTCTTCGGGATCTGCATAAGGACTCTCGTAGACCTCTGTATCCATGGGCAAAGCTTCCCTCTGACTATCTGTACATGGAACAGCAGAGCATATTTTAATACCACATCTTTTGTGATCTGGATATTCCCGTTCTTCCTATCTTTAAAGTATGAACTCCCAAACAGTAAGTCTCTTTGTTGCCTTTCTCATCTTTGTCTCTGGCGTTCTGTTCCAAACAGGGCCCTCTGTTAGCCAAGCCATTCTGCTTTTCTACAAGAAGCTTTTAACCTACTGCTTTGCTGAGACCTTTGCTTCCAGTTCCTTTGCAGGATTATGAGCAGCTTTGTTACACACATTCTCTCTCTCTCTCCCTCTCTGCCTTTCTATATGTTCCTTTATGTTACCACTAAATGGTACTATAATAGAGCAGAACTGCTTGAATACACAAAGGCTCATGCCACTCATTCAGGGATATACAAAATTTAAAAAGGGATTAAAACAGTTGCAAAGCACAGGAGAGGCCGTGGGGGGAAGACAACATTGTATAAGGCACCCATAAGCTACCATGGATGAGCAAATGATGAGGCCATAATAAATGCCTCATGTAGAAAGGACCTCGCTCTACTTCTTCAGCAAAACCTTTTCTGGCAGAGTCCCTGGTTCCTTTTTGTTGCATTTCCATTGTTAACTAACTACTTCCCAACTCCATCTTCATTTCTCATTTGTTATTCCCTAACTCCTTTCTTCCCACTTTTCTCCACTTTGGTCATGGTTGAATACATATTAAAAGTTTCTGGGCAGGGCCACTGTTAATTCTCCCAAAGATTCCCACTTGAAAAAAGAACACATGAATCATCTTATTGGCTGAACTGACTAATTAATCTGAAGTATTTCTGAACAAGCTCTCATATTGGTGCTACAATAATCTGGCTGATGTGGTTTTTGACACTGACAGCGTATTTCCACTGTTGAAGAGGATTATATGGGACCTATATTTTGTCTAATTTGAATTTACTTGTCAGGAGAAAAAAATTAAAGCAGTTAAATGCACAAATGCTTGTGCAATCCTTCTGAAGGAGCATAAGACTGGGATGCACATCTCATTGCAAGAAAAGATATCAAGATCTTTAGATAACCATCACTAAGGCAGTTGGACATCAATATGGAAATCTTCAGAAAAATAAAGTAGCAGATCCAATACATTCCTCACTTTGCTGTTGTTTTAACCAACTGCAATTATAGTAAATTAAAACAAGAGTGGGCTTGATGGTGTCCCTGCAACCCCACAGTGTCTGCAACCCTTGGCCTTCCCCGGAGATTGCATGTGCCTCCCCACAAAAAAATCTAAATTTGTTTTCTTTCCTTCCTTCTAAAGATAACTGCAAAAAGAACTGAGCTCAGCAGCTGCTTTGGCATTGCAAAAGAGTAGCACTGATCTTTCAAACAAACAAACAAACAAGCAAGCAAGCAAACAAACAAACAAAATCTGACTCTTTTAAGATGCCATTTTGTTTTTATTTCTTCTATTCTATTCCCAGTCCTCTACCTGTGGGGATTGACCTCTCCAAGTTGCCTGAGCTTGCACTAAGGCATATGATATAATCATTTTTCCTTTGTCTTTACTGAAATCCTTGAAAGAGTCCCATAAACATTTGAAGTTCTAATTAGTGCTGTGTGAACTCTGATCACCCAACCAGAATGCTGATCTGGTGGGTACAACCCTAGAACAACCTATGAGGAGCTGTGTCATGTTAAGCCATGTAATATATCAAAGTGAAAGAAAAGCACTGGAAAAACAATTAGCAAGCAATAAGGAAAAGATCAAGTCTGCCAAGAAGTGGAGTTAAGACAAAACAGGCTTGTAAAGTATACAAGGGACTAATGTGACCAAATTCATGTATGACTACATTTAAGTTTACAAAGCTTAAATCAGGCCTCCATGGAGGGAGTTGAAGAAATACTCAGTGCAGACATCAAGTAAGATTTGACTCTCTATGGAGATAAGTAAAAGGTTTGACCAGCATAACAACTATTAGAAGAAATAAGACAATGTTATTTCTTACCTTGCCTTGGCCGTGAAAATACATAACTGTTAAACAGGGAAAGTACATCATCACTCTGGAAAGGAAGAGGTACAGGTGTCTGTGACACATAAACAACTTTTTCTTTTAGTCCATATTTAAGCATTAAGATGAAGGTCATGACACAAAAATGAAGCAATGAAAGATGTAGGCAAGGATTAATGCATGAGAAAGGGAGCAAAGCTTACCTAATTCTTCAGATTATATCTTGCATTATGTATGCTAGCAAAATGAGAGATTGCTGCTAAAGCATAAAGGAACTGTAAACATTTCAGAGTATTTCCTGATAAGGGAATTAACAATTGCCTATTTGTTCAAGCTGTAACCCTACAGCAATGTTTATTTCATTTCAGAATCCTGTATTCACCAAACTGGAGTTGCTCAGTGTTTTTCTTTCAGTTGGTTTTATATTATCTTTTTACGATAACTGCATAATATAAATTAGTCTCTGAAACTGCATGGACTTTAAATCACTAATTTGGAAAGATAATTCAAGTTCACATGTCTAACAATTTTTGAAATTATAAAGATAAACAAAGGATCATCTCACTGATCAATTCATCAAGATGTTTCCTAATGTATTGATCAACTCTGTGACATACGTTCCTGCCATGGCATTATTTTCAACATGGATCAATAAAAATGACAATCCAAAAGGCTCATTCACATACAATGTTTTCACCTGAAGTAAATAGTTCTGATCCTTCATGGACAATGTAACTGGTGAAATAGCCAATCATAGATAAAATTTCTGCTGGCTGGAAATGCACTGTTTACTGTATGTATGTTCACCTGGTTTACCTATGCTACACGGCAGTGCAAGCTTGAGCCAGGACTACCTGTATGTAAGCTATATATAAAAGAAAATGCCTCATGGGAACCAGCTGTATGCCTATAGGTGTTGCTATTGATCCAAATCAGGGGGCACTATCTCGTTTTCTACTTTTCTTTCCTTAACAGATTTTTTTTAAAGAAAGAGGTACAAGATCCAGTGATAAATTGTGTCTCTGTTGAAGATGGTTTTGTCTGGATATTATGTAAAATTATTTGAATGAGACAGGGGAATGGCACAAAAAAGCCTTGTTTGAAAGAACTTTAGGTTAAAAACCATGAAAATAACATGGCCTTTTCTGGGGGACACTTGTTAAGTAAATTTACTGTGGATAAAATTTATTTTTGATCATCCTCAGCTTAAATTCTAGTTTAGTCATTGTTGGGATATGTGTTAAATAATATCTGCTTGTATTACAATGTGTGTGGCTATATACTTCAGAACTGACACATGTTTTGCCATGGAGACAGGAAGTATAAGATACCTGAACTTCCTGTTTCTACCAAAGGCACTGGTATTCTTTTCACCAGTGACGAAATGAAAGGAAATACAGTTCCATTTAAGCACATAGGCCTAAATCAGATTAAATTATCCAAGCATTACTTTAAAATATACAGCTCGATCATATTACAATGCATTTTAATATGAAGGAAAAAATGCACTTTATTCTTCTCATTCATTAAAGAAGACTTGAATATGAAACTGATCTGGCCTATGCTATGGGAAAAGAACCTAGTATGTGTCAAATTCACTTTACAGGCCTGGAAGTGTTTAGATGGACTTTCATGTAGCACAAAGTGCAAGCAAGCTCACTTCTATTCACTTTTCAAACTAGCTTCTTTAATTAACAGAACTGGATTTTAATATATTGAATTAAAGGTCTCTAACAGGTAACTATCATTTTGTTTGCCAGAGTGCATGTGAATGCATGTTGACTCAGATGTAAGTCCCAGCGACTTAAATGATACTTATTCCCATGTAGAATTGCAGCCTTACACTTTCAAAATGTACTTGAATACTCCAGGGAGAAAGAGAAACTTTGTAACAAAACCCCCCATGAACAATTTTCTCCTTATCATGTTAGCATTTGCATGGACCTAATCCTGATCTGCCTGAAGGCCATGCAATAGATTATGAAGTTACTGTCAAAGATGTTCATCATTAACCTTGCTATGACTGACTGATTGGCAATCAATGTAACTGAGTTAAGCATTGAGTAAGCACTGTAATTAAGCACAGTGCTTAATCATTTAAGCCACCCAAGGGCTCATTGTTATCATGTCCATAATCCATAAAATGAGGTATGAATAAGCATTGTGACCACACATACAGCTGTTTCCCTCTTCTAGTTGCATGAATGAGTAGAACACCCCCATCCCCCAGAGGTCTTCCAGTTATTATTTTCCCCTAACTCAGAAACTATGGTTATCAGTTTCGGGAACAGGCCAACACAGTTGACTCTATTCCTGGCTCTCTGTAAACTTTTATCATACGTTATAAAGTTATACAAGTCTGCTACTGGAAATCCTTGCAGATTGGTTCATGTGGTGATAAAATCCTTGGCTAAGATAAGAACATTATTCTCTGCCTGGTTTAAATACCATGCAAGAGCTAGAAAACTTAGGTATTTTCATGTCCTGCTTTGTAGGAACATAGAAAGCTTCCTTAGGTCAGACTATGCCTAAGCTCAGTATTCGATGCCTAAGCTCAGTATTCTAACCCAGCCCAGTATTCTACTCTGCCAAAATCTTTCCAGTGCCTCAAGGTCTCTCTGCCAGATGCTTGAGGAGTAGAATCTCATCACTTGTTGTTTGATTCTTGGCTTGCATTGACTAGGCCTTGGACATGGGAACTTCTGCTACTGAACCATGGTCCCCTGTAAGTAGGTGGGTTAAACAAAGAGTTCCATAGCAAAAGAAAATATACTTCAGCAGATGTTTGTCTGGCTAACTGATGCAATCTTGAGGGAAACAAGGCATGTGGACAATGTGCAGCTTGTTTCCAAGCAATCCGCACAACCAGGAGGCTTCGGGGAGCATGATTCTTCTTCCAAACAAGGTGCATATTCCCTCTACACCTACTTTTCCTGCAAAAATGCTCCTATTTTTCCAATGATGCCATTTTAGTGAAAGAAGGCAGTAAAAGCATCACATGTGGCCTTGGTGCAGTGTCCTGCCCACCCCTGCTCTAATGAACTGAACACCAACCTATAAATCAGAGTTTCATGTTGATTTCTCAAGCAAAAGATATCAGCTAAAATATAGGTTCAGAGAACAGTAGGCTTCATTCAGACCCATTGTGTTTCAGATTAGGCTTGTTATCATGCTACCTCTATGCCTGATTCGTGGAATTTTGTAGATTTACATATTCTCCCACTACTTTTTCCTTATTGTAGAAAATTTGTTAAGAAGGAAAGATGGAATAACTTCAGAATGTCCATAGTGGTAGTGCTAGGATCCCTTTATCTGTAAGCATCTTTAGTCCTACTTATAGCAGGCCCATTAAAATCAAGATTAAGTTTCACTAATTTTAATAGGTCTACAGGTGGCGCAGTGGTTTAAACTGCTGTGCTGCTCGGCTGGTTGATCGAAAGGTCGCCGGTTCGAATCTGCACAACAGAGTGAGTTCCCGTTGCTCCGTCCCAGCTCCTGCCAACCTTGCAGTTTGAAAGCATGCAAATGCAAGTAGATAAAAAGGTACCACTTCGGTGGGCAGGTAACAGCATTCCATGCACTTCGGTGTTTAGTCATGCTGGCCACATGACCACAGAGACTGTCTGCGGACAAACGCTGGCTCCCTTGGCTAGGAAATGGAGATGAGCACCACCCCCTAGAGTCAAGCATGACTGGACTTAATGTCAAGGGGAAATCTTTACCTTTTTACTCAAAGATCTGGTTTACATACCAGTGGTGGTTCCTGCGTACAAGCGGAATATGTGAGTGTCACGCTCATTGTATACTCTCATTTCTGAGTTGTTTCACGATGTGTGAACCTGGAGGTCTGGGTTGTTTATGCTCATGTTCTCTTATTCAGTTAACTTGGGATAGCTTAAATTATAAAAAATCCTGAGCAAACTGTGTCTAAGTCTGGATCCAACACTATAAATTGTAATATATTTAAATGATGAAATACATGTACGAAAATTTGCATTTTATTTTCCTTAAAAGAAACAAAAGCAAAAGAATGTCACCACTCATCATATGGTACTGCTCATTAATTATCACTCATCAATCAGACTCAGTCACAAAGTGGAAGCAGGTTTACTCCAGGATGGTTTCAGCTTGCAGGCACACAACTACATGTTCCTGCATTCTGACAGTTTTTTGTTTTATGTGAGCATCAGCCATGTATAAAATGCATGAAAAAGAGTGTTCATTTACTTCCAAATCAGTCATGTGCGCTGGGAATGCTGGTTCTTAATGTTGGTCAGCTGGTATAATGGGGGCATCGAGGGTGGGAAGAGAAGAGAAAAATAGAATAGAATAGCTTCTTTCATGAAGTAGCGGCAGTCCTGTTGTATATTTTCCCTACTTCAGATAATTTTGTATGAGAAATGGAAAATGTTCACACATAAAATTTGGATTCAAATGGTATAAATTTAAAAGTCTGAAAAATCTGTTTCATTGAAATACAAATATAGAAATTTTTAAAATTAACAATTAGTACATTTGTTGTCAGTTCACTGGATTACAACAGGAGTCTAACAATGCAAAATTAATTTTAGAACTTTCTACTGAATTGTTAACACTTGTATTAACTCATAGAATCTTAGGATACCATTTGCACTAATGACCATGAGATCAATGCATATCAGTAAGAAAAAAATGAAATCATTTTTCTGAATAAAGCAAGCGTTACTTCTATAAGCTAAGGACAGAGGTAAAAGCTGAAGAAAGTTACAAATGTGCACAGAGGACTAGAAGCAAGGCAAAGAGCAGAATTATCGAAGAGTTGTAAGTGAGCTGAGTGAGGGTAAGTCCTTCCACGCATTTATACATTTATAAAACAAATGGGTTTATGCACCTTTTTGCTTCCTGGCTTTGGGAAAGTGTATGATTTGAGTCTTGTGATAATTCCACCTGTTGACCAAGTCTAGAAACCATAAAGGATATCAAAAGGATAAACATTAAACATATATCTATTTGCTTAAGTCTTCTACAACAGTGGATTCCAAATGTTCTATGTCTTGGCTATGTACCCTTATTTTTCTCCAGGATTCACATGCAGAAAACTTCTCTTTGACCACTTAGTTGAACCCTCACTATTGGTCCACATCGGTTATTTCCAGTGTTCACTAAGCTATAGTCCCAGATTCTTACTGCTGAATACTGACAGGTGTTAAACAACCATTCGAGGTCCATGCTCTAGCTTGTAGATTATGACAACCCAGGGTTTTTTAAAGCCTTGGGTTGTTATGAGCAAGCATAATAGTGCGCACTGCTCAGTTGCTCCTGCTGCAAGGAAGATCAGCTCAATAACTCAGGAACACTCTTTTCCTGGGTTGTTTAATGTAGTTGTGAACCAGGAACTTTGGCTTGTTGAAGGATAGACAACAAATGGTTGGAACCCAGTTTTCCAAATTATAAGCACAATATAAAATGTGGCACTAAACAGTGACATTTAACTGGGTAGTTTTTTTTTTTTGGAGAGTCAGGCAGATCAGGACTTCTTCATTTAAACAGCAGGGGCAAAACTGAATCCTTTAAGTATTGTACATAGGTTGAACCAGGTTTCTGCATAATCTAGAGCAGGGGTGGGCAATTAATTTTCCTATGGGGCCACATGAGAAACTTTGACAGTTGTTAAGGGCCGGACCAATACACTTACAGCTCTGCTCAATAGATATCTCTATAAAAACAGTAAATGAAACATTACAAGGATACAATGAAGATGTGGAGCACAGAACAACACTATTTAATGAATATTCACAAAAACATTAACATTACATGAAAAGCAATGAATTCAATTCAATTTAGCAGATCCTTCAAAATAAAAGCAGTGCAGTTGTATTGCTTGCTTCTATATTACGATGATATATATTTGCATTGACTTTTAATTTGCCAGTGACCTCATGCGGGCCAGTCAGGGTCAGCCAACGGGCCGGATGTGGCCCGCGGCCCGCGGGCCGTACAATGCCCAGGTCTGATCTAGAGGGACAGATTGCCTTGTTACACTTTAAGGACATAGGAACATTCTGAGAAATCACATCTATGTCTTCAAATTCATGAAAATTATACTGACAGCAAAGATGCTGAGACGTCACAATATTTAGCTTAAAGATCTTCCTGCTGGTAACTAAGCCTTAGAAGAGGCATTTCAACTTTCTAGAATGTGGGAAACTGCAAAATCTGAAAATTTACTACATGCTTGGCATTTGGGAGGGGAAGAAGGGATATGTCGTGGAAAAGGGGGGCATGGCCACTCAGGACAGGCAGGCTGGGACTGAGTTGCATACCCTGTCATATGATCACGACGTCCAGCTGTCCCAATTCCATTGGTGGTCAAATGGTGGGCAATTATACCAGCGGTGTTGTATTAAAAGAGCCCATTCAGGAAACTGACAGCAAAACTCATAATTCACATGTACTGATTTTATTTATTAAATAAAAAGTTCTTTTCTAGGTATAACATGCTTTGTGCAGCATACTGCAGTCTCTCTCTCTCTTTTGCTTTTGAGGCTATAAATATTCTTTTGCCCAGTAAAACTATGGAATACATTTTAATTAAGTAATTGGCTTCATTAGTGAATTGTCAAGTTGCTTATTTTAAAATTCACAAATTAGGAAAGCATCTTTATGGCAATGCAGTTATTTATTTATTTATTTATTTATTTATTTATATTGTAATTTATATCCTGCCTTTTTCCTACAAAGGGCTCAAGGCAGCTTACATCATTCTCCTTCTCCATCTGATCCCCACAACAACAACCCTGTGAGGTAGGTTGGGCTGAGAGTCTGTGACTGGCCCAAAGTCACCCAGTTGGCTCCATGGCTGAGTGGGGACTAGAACCCAGATCCTCTGAGTCCCAGTCCCACGCTCTTAACCACTACACATATGGAAGATGTCAAGGGCTAGCAGTGGATGGAGAAATATCAGTTTTCTTTTTTAAACTATATATATATCAACCTTAAACGTAAAATATATCAGCCTTGAAAGTAAAATATTCAGACTGCTTTCACCCAATAATTCTTTATGTTTTACAATGTGCATTCCTCTAGAATGTAAATAAAAGTGAATTGTTTACTTATTTTTAAAAAAATTTCTTTGCCTCTGTTCAGCCATCCAAGGTAGACATGTTAGTGAATCTTTTGAACCCAAGTGTGCAGATACTACTCCACATGGCAAAGTTGCTTACATAATCTTGCCCCACCGCCCACACTTTTGGGTCCAGTAACTTTAATTTTATCATTGCAAACTGCATCAATTGATGCTAGAACCACTGGGAAACTGCTTCAAAGCTGTATGTCTAATTTCCACCTGAACAGTTATTTGTATGGTTGAATTGGGCTTAAAGAACAGGAATTATGGCTATCCGAATACATGTACATCCTTAGAAAACCATTGCTATTCAATTTTAAGTCACTACCGTGTGTAGTTACAGTGCAAATGTAAATGTCAAGAATAAAAGACTAGTCTAGCCTTCCGAACATGATACCAGCCTTCAGATGTGTTAGACAGCAACTTCCAGCTAACATGGGAGTTATGCCAGGAATTATTATAACTGTAGTGCAAATATGTTTGTAATGCAAACATGTCTGGAGGGTGCCTCCAGGTTAGGAAAGCTGGACTAGCTTACAAAAAAGAGAAGAGCTTTTCTTAAGAGTGCTCATTGTAAGAACCATTCAACCACGTGAATGGCTGCTGTGCCTCTTTCCTCTGCTCTAAGTGGGATTTATGATTCCATAACATTCTGGTTCATAAATTGTTAAGTACACTCCCATGATTTTCTTTCATGCTGTTCTCTACTGTACCCTCTCTCATTTGAGTCTGTGTCAATAATTTGTAAGCAGGACAGTGATTGCAGAGCAATTAAACACAGGCAAACCTTGTTTTAATTAGTTATTCTGAGCTATGGCAGCTAACATATTCTACTCTGCATAGAGCAGATCAAGTAAGTATCCAGTTCTGCACACACTATCACTGTAAATATTTTCCTACAAATTAGCTCTTACAAAAACTTAAGACGGAACAAAAAATCGATATAATGCATAATGCTATTGTATGAAAATACTCAACCCCTCTAATTTTCAGTATACCCTTTTTTTGGAAAATTATAGCAATTTACTATCAAACAAGTATGTCTTTATTAAGCAAAGAATAATATTAATTAAACATCCTGAGACTTGTATGTTATTAGAAACAAACAATTACTGGTTTGGGTCAGTATATTTTCTTACCTTACTGCCACGAGGTTTAGGAAGTGCTGGGGTATTGCCAAAATCAAATCTACCTAAAATAGAGAGTTAATTACTACAAAAATATCAATTGTTATTTCTAGGAAAGTGTCTGAAATGTCCATTCAATCTATAGATTTATGGTGTCCATTTAGATTCTGTCTGCAGTGGTTCCATTCCTGACCAATTCCAGAAGGTGGTGCTCTGTGTCATGGCAGTTATGCCATGAGGTACTGCAGGGCTCTCTTTTATCTCACATGAGTTTTGCACTTACAGGAAACTGGGTTTCCAACAGTTATTTGGAGGCTTGGGCTGAGGTGTCAGCAATATGCAGATAATACTCAGCTCTGCCTCTCTTTCTGAACCCAGGTGAGGCAGTGACCATTCTAAATGAGCACCTGAGCTCAGGAATAGAGGTGCTGGTAAAAGACTCAAGACAGAGGTGCTGTTGGTGTGTGGATAGTCTGTCCAGTTGGGAGACCTTCCACCTGTCTTGGATGGGGTCATGCTCCTCCTACAGGACAAGGTTTGCAGTCTGGAGGTGCTCCTAGACCCAGAACTGTCGCTGGAGTTGCAGTTCAGTGGCTAGGAGCACTTTTTATCAGCTTAGACTGATTTACCAGCTATGCCCTTATCTGGACAGCCACAGTTATCCATGCTCTGGTAACCTCCTGAAACACACTGTACATACAGCTCTCTTTGAAAATGGTCCAGAAACTCCAACTTATTCAAGAACAGGGCAGCACAGCTTTTAATGGGGACTGGCCTACAAGATCACATCACAAAGTGCTTGTTCTAACATTTAAAATCCTAAATGGCTTGGGGCCAGGTTACCTGAAGGAACGGCTTGCCCATATGTACCTGAGCCTTAAGATAATCTCTTGAGGTCCGTCTCAAGGAATCCTCCCTAAAGAAGTAAGGGGGTGACAACCAGAAGAAGGGCCTCTCATCCCCAGAGCCTGGCACCATCCCTGATATCTTTTCACCACCAGGTGAAAACCTTTTTTATTTTCTAAATTTGTTAGTAGTTAAGCCCATGAGTCTTATCCCTGAACTACGTTAAATATTGTATAAATTGTATTTATAAATTGCTGCTGTAGCTTGTCCTTTGTTGACTGTTATGTTGTTGTTTTATATGAATTTTAGGTGTATATACTGTTTATATTGTTTTTATAACTATTTTAAGATCTTTTTTTTAGGACTGTGATATTTGTAAGTCACCCACAGAGCCCTGTGGGCTATGAAGTAGTATATAAATGTAAATAACAACAACATTGTGACAGCATCAGTGCTCTGAATTATACATTGTCTGTCCCTTCCTGCCTGAGGCAAACTGAGGGGACAGAGCTCTGAAGGGTCTTGGCCCAATTTTATATACATTTTCACAGCCCCTTTTCCAGATCCCTCAATTCACTATGGAGAACCTTGTTTATAAATGTGCAAACCTGCAGGATATTGTGAATAGTGCAGCTCACACATAGCAAGTATGCTACAAGCAATGTTGCCAGCACAAAGGAAAAGAAGTAGAAAAGAATGATGTATTGACTGGGCTCACATGCTCATAGCAGCCCACTGCGGCTTGTTCAAACCATGGCGAGCTGTGGTTTTTGAATACTCAAGCCGCAACTTGTTATGTCATCAGGAGTTCTGTGAGATCATGAGTGATCTAAGAGTTATTTAACCCTCACGGAATCCATACCTGTCTGTGTTTGGATAATACCAAACCAGGGTTTGTCACATTGAAAATGGCCACTCCCACACACTCCAGCATGTGTGCAGCCCACCATGGTTTAAGGTCCATCATGGTTTATTTGATCATGAGCTCATTCCCTTATTTAGCAGTGCTTACAGTGTCACCATCTCAGAAAAACCGGGACAAAGCAACAGGAATCATGAATGAATGCTGTTCCCAGTTGGGTGGTGGTTGTTCAGCTTCTGTACTTAGTATAAACTAGACTCTCTGTTGTTTCCACCTTGTAAGTGCAAACAGAATGTTTTTCTCATTCTTTTCCATCTTTGCAGCCTGGCATGGTTATACACCCAAGTGAATGTAGCTGAATTATTCCCTAGGTAATTTGGGAAATGGATTTGCCTTGGCATTTTAAGCCATTTTCAGGTATATGAGCTCAATAAACTAATAAGCTAATTCCAAGTTAATTTTGGAATAAATCTAATCACACTGAAAATTTGGAAGGCTTCTATTTAAGGGGTACCCACATTGCTTGATGTGCTTTGTCTTATCAGAAAGTTTGAAAAGCTTTTTCATAATAAAAGTTATCAAGTTACATAATCAACTCATTACTCCAATTTGAGATAAGCTATATGAAATAGTTGAATTTATCTTTTACAAACAGCTTATTTTAAGAATAGGCCCATCAGAGATAGCTTTAATATCATGAAGAGGTTTTATTAGGTTTTTGCTATTAGGATCTTGCTTGGAATTCTGCTAGAGAAAGGTCTGTGAGAAATAAGGAAGATGTATGGAATCATCTTCCATGTTGCTTACCATTTGCCAAGTGAGCATCTGGATTTGGAATCGGTTCTGTGATTATCCTTAGAAGTCCATCAGCTTTGTAGGAATAATGTTCCACTAGCTATTGTAAAGAAAAGGAAAATAGGAAAGGTTAGATTAGGATGTAGGAGGAATAAATCTGAGGATCAGCAGGATTCTCAATTTCCAAAATTTCCTTTCCAAAATAATCCAAAGCATAAAGCGATAGTTCCAAACCTTATGAGTGTTGCAGAGTGTTGTGGTATCACGGTTTGGACAGCTGACCAAACCATGATACCACATGATGTATTTCCTACCATGTAAGTTAATGGAAACAACATTGCCTCTGTCAACTTATACAGTGGGGAAGATATCTTAAGCAAGGGTCTCCCTTGATCCAAGTTGAAGCAGTTCTGGCTTGAAACAAACTGAAATAAAGGAATTCCTGATGATTCTGTGTATTAGGATTATGTTATGATTATTATTATTATTAACTGAGAGACTGCCACATTGGAAAGTGAAGCTCCATCTTTATTTGGGTTGAAAAGAGTGGTTTGGAGTCTGACCCCACCTCCGTCTTGTTCTTGGGCAAATTACTTTTCTTTTAGTCACACCAACTTGCTTTCTGGGGAATGAGTTTTGAGACCCACTGTAATGACTATGGGTTGGGTTTCCTTGCCCTATTTTGACCCCCTCTATGGTTCACAATATGTTTTCTGTGCATACTTCTGATGTGTTGTTCATGCTAAGGTTTCACTGCCGCAAGCACAGTATAGATTGGGTTTTTATTATTAATTGCATTTTGACTGCAACTTTACCAAGAATAGTACAAAAACAAATAATGATGTTCAGTTTGGTTTACACTGTATCAACCACATGGTCTGATGTTCCTTAGACTTATGGTTCTATTTTTATCAGTTTACATATTTTATTTGAAGAAAAATACATCATTAAAAAAGGAAAACCAGGAAAACCTTCATACATGTATTCCTACAATTCCTAGGGACAGTTACAGGTACACATGTCCAATGCAAATGGCTGAGTTTGAACAAACAACTGTGAAGAGTTTGAAATGCAGCACCTGCAGTTTATATGGAGACGCATTCCTTGCTGGCAAGTCCAGAGGAGACCTTGACAGATGCCTGCAATGTCTCCCCTGTCCGCTCTGCCACTTGGGCACTTTGAGGGCAGCCATCAACCGTACCCACTAGCTAGCTGCTTGTCAAGAGTGGCAAGGGGACTTTATCACTTTTGACAAGCAGCTTGCTTATTGTTTTTGGGCTTAAAAAGGAACCAATAGCTGCTATCTTGACATAAAATGAAAAGTAAATGGAAAAATGGTTGAATAATTTACCACATTTTAAGCACTACTTTGGGCAACAGAGCTGATGTGGCAACATTTAATCAAAACACATTTATAAAAGGGCCTGCCTTCCTAAGGAAATGGTAGATTATTAATTCAGCTGTCCACACAGAATTGTTTTTCTAAATTTGTGAATCTAGTTACTTTATAACCATGACACAAACCAAAATGCAGAGGTCTCACAACAACGCCAGCTTTTTTCCTCTGTACTTGCTTGCTGCAAGGGAATTGCCAGCTCTGCACATCCCTTTACATCATACAATTAAAATTACAACACAGTTAACATGCTAGTGTGAACACTCAGTGTAGTCCTTTTGATCTGCAATGTTCTTTATAATTTTTATTGCTGGTGACCTCATAGTAACCTGGTGAGTCAAGCCAATATTATTCTAAACACAATATTCTAAACACAGGCGAAGACCTTTTTATTTAAGCGGCATTTTAAATGATAATATTATTGAATTTTATCGGGCCAGGGTGGCTCATTTTATATTGTATATTTGTATCTTATTTTAATGTATATATTTTAAAATGTTATTTATGATGTTTTAATTTATTGTTGTAAGCCGCCCCGAGGCTTCGGCGAATGGGGCGGCATAAAAATGTTTTAATAAAATAAATAAATAAATAAATAAAATATTAGAAATAGACTGCCACAATAATGGGGAATTACGATAACTGGTTTCTTGAAGTAATAAAGTAGAAATGGCAAAGGAAAAACAAAGCTGTACATTCTTTTTCTCCCCTTCTATTTTAACTTGCAAACCTCCATTGCAGAAATATAAGAAAGCCCTGTTTATGCATTTCACTGCCAAGAGGGAGGTGCAGGACACAAGTTCCTTCCTTCTCTACATCATACAAATCACAGAACACCAAAATCATACCAAAATCACAAAAACAGTCACTCATGGATTTGCTTTTGTGTCTATTTTGAAATGTGGAAAGTTCACTCAAGAAAATATCTTTGCTGTTCAGGTATTCTGTAGCATTGTAGATTAAAAATGTCTGAGGTTAGGGACCGCTATGGTGCTGTCCCAGTGCTTGCACATTTCTGTCAAGATTCTCAGCTGCAGAAATTCCTGGAAGGTCGACATGTTTGATCATGTTGAGGGCCTCCCATGGATACACATGCATTCTCAAACTCAAGATGATTCTCTATGCACTGAACTAATGCGAGCATATTTAAAAAAAAAATCTGGAAAAACTCATTGTGCCTACATTACAATAGAAATGAAAAAAGATGTAACTGCCAGATACAAACTAATGTCTGCTTTGGCTTACAGAGAGGCATTTAAAAGCAACAACAGAGGTTCCAGAATGGAATCCTAACTTTAAATTTCTTTTATAAACCCAGTGTATTGTGCTTCAGTGGGGACACCCAAGCACTTAATCTTTTATAACAATCTGCCATCCTCATGAGAAAATGGTATTTTAGTCCGGCATTGCTGCAGTCCATTTATCCACAAAAGAAATCCAAATTTACCTGTCTATCAAAACAGAGATCTGAACAATTCATATTAACTTTGGCAAACAACCTTCAATGAAGGGCCACAGCTCAGTGCTTTGCATACAGAAGATTCCAGGTTCAATCCCCAACATGCTCAGGAAGGACTGAAATCACCCTGGAGCGGGGCTGTCAGTCACTACAGGCAGTACTTTTTGCTACAATCGATGATAGCGAGATAAGTAACTATGCAAAATGTATTTCGTTTGTTAAAAACTGTAAACTGCAGCAGCACAGCAAAACGCATACTCCCTATTTTCTCAGTATGCAATTACTTAAATGAATGACATTTGACAAACCTGGCAAAGTGTGTCAAACTTCTTTCCATCTGGGATTGAAAGTTTTCCCTTCTTGTCTCTGTCAATGCGATAATGTGCAACCTTTCCTTCATTGAGCAAACAAAGAGCATAGGATCCGTTGTTGTCTCTTTCCCTGATTCTAAAAGATCAAGAAAAAGAAGGTTGAAAGCCTATTTTCAAAATGCAGTGTGAGCCATTTTTACAAAACCAAATCTGGGGCTTCTCCACTGTTTCCCCAGTTTTATGTTAGCTATGAAAAGTTTCCGATTCTCATCATTCAATACTCTTCTGAATTAGTAACATTATCCAGAACTTCTCCAATGGCTGAGGGAGATCACTTTGGTGCACTGTCCTGTCTCCAGCTATTTTCTATATTGAAATTCCACAGACTGGGCATCATTTAAGGGAAAATACCCAGTCTTTTTAACTGGTTGTTGCAGATGCCTATGTCCATAAGGTGCCATGTGCTCATTCCTACTTCTTCATTTTTGATGGAGTGAAAAGAGTCCTTTTCAGAGTGTGTAACATTTATTCTTAGAATATCATTCTAACTTCACAATTTTTATCACTGGAATTTTTTTCCTTGGAACAGATACAAACATTTGCAAATTCTTCCTTTCTTTCATGGTATAGAAAGTTTTCCTAAACTAGGGTTTCATTTTATTATACACAAAATGCATCAGGTGCTTAAATTCAAGACCCTTTTTGGTAAATAATTATCCTCATTTAAAAGGTAATGTAACTGAAATGAGGAACAAATGCATGGTAAAAAAAAGGAAAGAAATCTACTTAGTATGATATTGTCAAGTCCTTTCTGAGCTACATGGATGAGGAGAATTTTCCAGTTCCTGAGTGCATTGTGCGCTTCTTGGCCCATCTATCAATAGGGTAGAGACTGCTGACAGAAGCAGGGGAACAAGTCCATTACAAATGTTGTCATCACTTGGTATAACAGATAAAAGGGATTCTCCCCCCATTGTAGAATGTAGGTGAAAACTGGAACAAAGTCCAATCAATATGTTCTAGACAAAGAAATCCATGGTTTTAGTACCTGCCAACAGCAATGATATAGTAACCATTCTAAGCATAGAAAAAAAATTCTGTGGGAGTAGAGCTCAGTCTTATATTAGGAGAAGAAACCCTGCAACACTGTTCCCCCAGTTTGGAAGGCTAATTCCAGGAAGCGGTATTGGAGGATTACTGTTCAGCGCCTGAGCAGTTCAATTATGGGGTTCCATAGGGCTCTATTCTATTCCCCATGCTGTTCAATACGTTAATGATGCTGCTGGGAGAAGTTATCCAGAGGTATGGATGTGAAGAAAACACCCAGTTCTTTCTCTCCTTTGTGTCAAATCCAGCTGAAGCAGTGTGTGTTCTGAATTGGGCTCTTCTATGGTAATAGACTAGATGAGGGCCAGTATGGCCAGCTAAAGTGGTACTCTTAACTGATTGTCCATCAGTCCAGTTCAGCGATACTCAGCCTGTTCTGGAGGGTGAGTTGCACCCCATGCCAAATAACCAGGCTGCTACTCTTGGAGCCAGAACTGTCACTGGAGGCACAGGTGGCCTTGGTAGCAATGCACCTTTATCTGTTAGGTGGACATGCTAGCTCTGATGCTATCTGAAGAGATAGCCTGGCTACAGTTATTCATATGCTGGTAATCTCTAAATTGGGTAACTGCTGTTAATGGTCTTGTTTTTATTGTCTGTATGGTTTTATTTAATTGGCATGCATGCCTTGACAGCTTTTTAGTAAATAAGATAATATATAAATCTTTGCAACTGGTAATACATTACTGCAATGAATTATATGCCAGGCTGCCTTTGAAAAATTCTTGGAAACTTCAGCAGCAAGCTGATCAACATGAGCATATTATACCCGAAAGCCTTGAGTCCAGGTTACCTAAGGATTTCCTCTTTCCATATGTACCAGCCTGAACTCTAAGATCATGTGTGTTTGGATGACATTAAACCTTATGACACTGTTTTGGTGTACCATGGAATGGGCTATTAAAGTTTAAGAGATCGAAGTCTTCAAATCTTCAACAAATTAGGTACAGTTACTCCCACCGGGATCAAGGGGCTTAAGGAAGTGAAACAAAACACTGTTAATACTTTTAAGCATACCAAAGAACAGATTACCATTGCCTCTTCTGGAAACTGGTCATAAAGTTAGTTAATAAACGTTAATGTATAATCTACAATTAGCTTACCAACACTGTTTTCAAAACACAGTCAGCTTTTTTACTACTTGCTCACATAAGGCAAACTTGCACCATTTATTTTATACATAGAACTTGCACTGTTTTGCAAACAAGTCACATACATATTCAATGGATGAGACAGATATATATTTGATTAAAGATGAAAGTATTTGTCAAACTCTGGAATAGTTAGAAGCACAAATGCATCATATGGTACTCTTTCGTTTTCCTATTCCTATTCCTCCTTAGGTTGTTAGCATTAGCTTCTGGAAATCACAGGGGAAGGATTTACTTACAAAAATTTCCCATTGATCCTTCTTCCATGAAGGACACGATGCTCTGATTCCTCCCGAGATATCATTCCATGGAACCAAGGCATCTTCAAATGTGCTGTTGTTGCAATCAATTTCTCTAGCTGTGGTTTCTGACTAATAATCGCTTGCTCAAGGGCATGCCCCTGCACAGTGAACAAAACGGGAAATATTAATGCATGTGCAGTCAGAACACACAGTGTCTCCACCCCTTTGACTATCTGCATCTTGCTGTGTTACAACCTGCAACTGGAATCAATGTAACTGGCATTGTTACAATTGGATACAGGTAAGATCCCCAATACTGTAAAGGTGCAAACTATTTTATTATGGCATAAAAGTTAAGTAAGCCAAAACAAACTGGTACTTGCTGCTTCCTTAAGTGATCACCCCACTCTCCAAGTCAATATATGGTAAGAAAAACCTTTGGCAGCAATTACAGCTCCAAATCCTCTTGGGCATTTAATTTATTTATTTATTTATTTATTTTTCGATTTATATCCTGCCTTTTTCCTACAAGGGCTCAAGGTAGCTTACATCATTCTCCTCCTCCATCTTGTCCCCACAACAACAACCCTGCGAGGTAGGTTGGGCTGAGAGTCTGTGACTGGCCCAAAGTCACCCAGTTGGCTCCATGGCTGAGCAAGGACTAGAACCCAGATCGTCTGAGTCCAGTCCCATGCTCTTAACCACTACACCACACTGGCTCTCACTGGCATGTCACTATCAGCTTTGCAGATCTGAATCCTGCAACGTTTTTCTGGCAAGACTGCCCCAGCTCTGTCAGGATGGATGGGGAAAGCTGGAGAACAGCAACTTGCTATGGATTTTCAATGAGATTGAGTTCTGGCTTTGACTAGGTCACTCAGGTTCTTGTTCTTAACCCGCTCCAGTGTTACTTTGGTTGTGTGTTCAGAGTAACTGTCCTTCTGGAAGGTGAATTTCCATCCCAGTCCCAGGTCCCCTGTAGGCTGAAGCAGGTTTCCTTCTAGAATTGCACTCAATCCTAACCATTTTCCCAATTCACAAAAGGAAGCGCATCACCACAACATGATGCTGCTAGCACCATACTTTACAAAGGCCATAGCGTTCTTAGAGCAATGAGCACCGGTGGCTTTGTGCCACATGCAGCATTTTACAACAATGTGGAAAAGTTCAATTTTGGTCTCATTAGACCAGATAACCTTTCCCCCAAAGTTTTCTGTGTTTTTCACATGCCTTTTTGCAAACATTAAATGGGCTTTGAGATGCATTTGTTTCAGCAATGGCTTTTTTCTCACTACTGTTCCACAGAGCCCAGCTTGTCAAGCATCTAGATAAGTCATCCCATGAATAGTTTGTCCACTGTGGATCTCTCCAATTCCTTCAGAGTTACCACTGGCCTCTTGGTCGATCCTTTGAGTAATGCTGCCCTCATGCAGTCACTGAATTTTGCTGGACGGCCATTTCTAGGCAGAATCACTGTTAAGGCATATTCTTTCCATATTGTGCTTATGAATTTAAGTGTGCTCTGGGGGATGTTCATGGTTTGATTCTTTTTATATCTATCCATCCATCTATCTCAATCCTGAAACTCAATCCTGACCGGTGCTTTTGCACAACTTTTTCTTGGAGTTCTTTTGATAGTTTATGGAAAGTTTCCAACAAACTCTGGGGTATTCTAGAAGCAGGTAAATTAAACCTGAGTTCATGTGGCACTGGAATTATACACAAATGGGCTCCATTCAACCATTAACACTCTAATGAGTTCTGGACAGGTTGTACCAGAGCTTATTTAGTACATTGCAGCAAAAACTTATGCAATCAATACATACTTGTTTTTGTTTACTTTTCTGCCACAATAAAATATTATGCCAATTCACAGTGTTGCATATCTTTTGTACTTGTTACAAGTAGTAACAATGCCAATTAAAGCCATTTTAATTCCCAATTATAGCATAACAAAATATGGAAAGGTCAAAGATGGGTGCATGCGTCTACATATAAATAGTACAAAAGATTGAGCAAGGCGTTGAATGTTTGGGGCATATCCAAAACATTGGTTTGGCAGATTGGCATGTTTAATGTTATACCAAATGCACACTTTTCTTCAGTCATCTGATGACAAAAGCAAAACAAGGGAAAGTATTTCAAAAGGAGAAATAAACTTACATGCAAATTCCAAGTTTTTTTGACATATTCCTTGATTAGACTCTCCTTTAAGTCCTCAAATTGACTTGTTTTTGGCTCCACACCTGGTGGCCGATTATACGGTTTCCTGAGTAGGCAAACAAGCCCATCAACTTCATCTGAGTGATAGTTAATGAGTTCTACAGGACTCCTGTGGGATTTTCCTCCTGTAATAGCATAAGTGCCACTAATTTCCCTCTCAATGGTGTAATGATAAACCTTACTATCATGCACCAGGGATAAGGCAAAGCCACCTAGATAGTTTCGGCTCTGTCGCAGTAAGTAGAGTCCATTGCTAAGCCCGCCTTGCAACAGGTGATCTTCAGCTTCCTCACGTGTGATATTGCCAAAGAAATAAGGGAGGTGGTTAACAGAACCAGCAGTTGCCATTTTTTCTTCCACTTCTTAATATCTTGTAGTAGCTATTTTATACCTGGAAGGAGGGGGAAAAAAAGAAAGAACAAAACAGTTGAAGGAAAGCAACCTCAGAGGATAAAACTAAATAATAGTTTAATTACACCAGGTGGGCAGGTGTAACACAGGCAGTCTCTGGGAATAACCAAGCTGGCAGGAGGGGACTCGAAACAGAATTTCTCAGAGAAGGTTGACATGACTCTTGCCCCCACAACGCCTCACCAACAGAGCAGCCCAGTTAGAGGATTGCTGTGCTGGGAGAAGGTATGCTTGCTTTCAGAAGGCCCCTCTGAAAAGGAGGAGGCCCAGGCATGCTGAAAAGATAGATGTGCAAAGATAGGCTGGACATGCACATGGTGGGCATGTCGTGAGTGGAGCCGGCTGGAGCCAGGAGTCAAACTAGATGGCCCGGGAGGCCCCTTCTGACTCGCTCTGTTTCTGTGTTTCTAAAAGATGTTGTGAGCTGAGAACTCCCCCTCAGCAGTAACAGACTCACCAGTGCTTCTTGCTAAATGCCTTTATTTTACTTGTAAGTTTCTGAGCATACACAAAGCAAAATGTTGAACACTCTCTGGCCCTTTTTATCCAAAGCTTTGCTTATGAACCATTCAGCACCTGTCCCTGGGAGAAGGAGCATTGTGGAATAGGGCATGCCTGCGCTCTTCCTTCTGGAATCCCAACTGGGCCACCCTCCGCCTGTGCAAATGGACTTTTGGGTCCACCTCTTCAAGAGGCTGGAGTTCCCCATCCAACTGACTCCCCCTGTCTAAATCCTGCCTTAGGATGTTGTTGCTCTTCCTCATTCCCACGAGTGGGTTGACTGGGCCCCTCAGCTGCCCTTGAGCTATTCTCTTCCCCAGCAGGCATAGGGTGCCTTCCATTTCACCAAATCTTGTTATCAGAGCCTGAGCTGTCATCCCTGCTGGGATAGGCCAACTTCCCTTCATACATCTCATTCTCAGAATCTGATCTGTCAGTCTAACCCAGAATGGTCAGCTTCTTGTCATCTCCTGGGAATCTTGCCAGAATGCGCACGCTCAACATCAGGAGAGTTCCTGGAAGTGAATACTAGACTGGGTTCAACAAACCACTCCGTGTGTGCTCACAGATTCATTCTGGGTGTTTTGTGCCTGTTGGTCAGTAAAGAATGCTTTGCAAGGAAAACAGACTGTAGCTTTTGAATGCTTGAAGGAGAAACCCTGCCTTCCAACTTAGAGTAGCATACATCACCCATGGTTGTGATACTGATACAGAATAGCAGTGGTTTGAAGACTAGCACAACCCTTGATGATCATAGTTCTGACTGTTTTCTTGCAAATGGGTTTGTTCTCAAACCAGGGTTTTGTTTTTAATAGGGAATACAACTTGGGAAAAAATCAATCTTGATCTAAAGGGACATTAGTGATATTAAGCTATCGAACTAAGGCTTAATCAGTGATATAGTGGCAAATTTAGAAGTCTCTCTGTGTGTGGGTCCCTTCATGACAGAGCCATATCTCAAAGCCTTAGAACACCTTAGAACATAATTTCTAAAATTATGCAACCTATGATTATGCAATAAAAATAAGCTTTGTTGCATTGTTGGAATTTCTGTTGAGTAATAAATGCAAGATGAGGGTATCTCTTTTTGAGGTGAAACAATGGTAGTGTCTAGAAGTCATTTTATTTATTATTAATGTTTATTTATTACATTCATGCCGCAGTCTCTAGCCAAAAAGCGCCCGGAGTGGCTTATGTGGAATAAGGTAGTTCCTACCCATAGGCCTACTATCTAAACATATGTCATAAAGGAGAAAAGGGACAGGGAGGGAATGGAGAAAAGGAAACTCAGGCACTAATCACCCACACTTACAAAAACATAGGCAGTTATATTCTCCCAAGAGCAGCACTCTGGAATGAAAATCACTATCTGGTTTCTTTTACTATTCTGTGGCTTCTGCAACCACTGACTTTGTGTGGGCATGAGTGTGGGAGATCCTCCACGAGTCCAGAGTCTACCATCTAAGGGTTCCAGTTTCTCAAAATATCCAATAATCTTTTATTGTGCTCTCATGGGATCCAGACTAAATCATGCATAAAACAGATTAACCGAAGAGCAGTTTAAAGCAATCATGGCTAACTTTGCCCATTGATTCCAGTCAATATGCTTCAGTTATGAACCTGCTATCACCTCTGTTGTTTGTATTGATTTTTGTTTGTATTGATCTTTGTATTGATTGAGTGTTAAACAGAAATATCAGGGACGATATGAACATTAAAGGTACTAGAATCAGAGATGAAAGCTATAAACTGCAAGCATTTGCAGATGATCTAGTTTTCATAATGGAGGAACCCTTAGTAACAATGCCTAAACTCCTACAAAGGATTGAAGAGTATGGCAAGGTTACTGGGATGAAAATAAATAGAGAAAAGATGAAATTGTTAGTAAAATATCTCACACAGGAACAGAGAAAAACTCTGGTGGAACAAGAAGACTTTCAGATTGTTAAAAAGGTTAAATATTTGGGAATTTATCTTACAGCTAAGTGCACCACTCTGAAAGAAGACAATTATGATAAACTATTTAAGAATATTAAGAGTGATTGGAAAAATGGGCTAATTTGCAATTATCCTTGCTGGGAAGAATAGCACTGGCTAAAATGACTATATTACCAAAGCTTTTGTTTCTATTCCAAATGATTCCCATGAAAATTGATAGAAAATGTTTTGATGATTTAAATTTTTCAAATCTCAAGATTTATATGGAGAAAGAAGAAACCAAGGATTAAACTAAAAATACTTCAGGAGGCTAAAGAGAATGGGGGCTTTGGTCTCCCTGATTGGATGCTGTATTATCAAGCTTCTGTTTTAACGTGGCTAAAAGAATGGATAACTTTAAGAAATAAGAGAATCTTGTATCTTGAAGGGCATGATTTGCAAATGGGTTGGCATGCTTATATGTGGTATGAAAAGGCTAAGCTACATGGCTCTTTTTAAAGTCACTATATTAGGAAATCATTAATGTCGGTGTGGGAAAAGTTAAAGACAAAATTGTATAATTAATTACCAAGATGGCTTTCACCTATGGAAGCTCTTGTATATCCAAATGCACTGAACTTTGAAGGGCTCATAAGATATGATGACATTTTGGATAATGATGGAGGACTGAAATTGAATCAAGAAACACAAGAACAAGGATCTAATATTTCTTGGTGGCATAAGGTGCAGATACAATTGAGATATGCTAAAGACTATAAAATGTGGGGCTTTTATAAAGATTTAACAGCATTTGATCAGGTGATGCTTAAATCAGATGAAAAATGATTAAAAGACTATATAATTTCTTACTCGATAGGAGAATGGAAGATGAACAGGTTAAGGAAACTATGATAACGTGGGCACAAAACTTTGGATATAATATTGAATTAGAAAAATGGCAAAAGCTGTGGGAGAGAAATATTAAGGTAACATTAGCAACTTCGTATAAAGAAAACCTGTATAAAATGTTTTATAGATGGTATCTGTCACCAAATAGATTAGCTAAGATGTTTCCAAATATGTCAAATGGATGTTGGAAATGTAAACATAAATTGGGTACTTTCTATCATATGTGGTGGACTTGCGATAATGAGAAAAAGTATTGGATTAAAATACATAAATGGCTTGAGGAAATGTTACAAAAATCCTTAGCTTTTAAACCTGAAGTTTTCTTATTAGGCATTATACCTGTTGCTATTAGTAAACAAGAAATGTACTTGATTTTACATGTTATTACTGTGGCGAGGATTGCATTTGCTCAACACTGGAAAAGTGAAGAACCACCCACCAACGACCTGATCCTAAAAAAGATCTTGGACTGTGCAGAAATTGATAGATTGACTTTGTCATTGAAGGAGAAAGAAGATACTGATTTCTATCAAAGTTGGGACTCTTTTTATTATTGGACAGAGAAATGGGACTTCGTATAGATTTAACTATGTTCCTAAGTTATCATAAATAGAAAAAAATGTGGGGGCTGACCCAGCAGGTCTGATGTTTCTGATGATTGATGTTGTTTTTAGTTTTTCTTTGTTTTCAGGTTATTTTGAATAAAACTTATTATAAAAATATGCTTCAGTTATGATACTCTTATTCAACTTAGGCATTGTTTCTCCTAAATAATTATGGGGCTAAGAGTTGCTAGAAAAAGCCTATTGGCTTCACAGAGCTATAATTCCAGGAATGGGTCATCAGTCAATCCCTCTTTCCCAAGGACTCTAGGAATTGTGCCTCTCTGTGTGAGCAATGGGTGACCCTGGAGAAACTATGGTCCCCAAGAATCGTTGGAAAAATAATGAGTGTTTAAAGTACAGTAAAAGTGTTCTAAATGTGTGGTGTGAATGCAGGGGGAATGGGAGGTAGCTTTGGAGCTGCTAAGGCAAGCAGTCCACATGTTGCTGAGGAGCAGAGGCTGCCCATAAAGGAAAGTGTCAGAGAATTCATGTGCATACCTGGCCTCTCCAGAGAGGGAGTTCCCAGGAGCTGTTGGGAAGTGGGCAAGGAAGACCACTGATCTTAACCTGTTAAATTCAGGACTTTGACACAACGGGAGCTGCCAGCCATGAACCAGCAGAACTAAGTCTCTTGAGAGACAGTGGCGGAGAGATGGTGACCCTGACTTCAGGGATCCATTTACCTGCCGCCAGAGGGCCTCCTCCAAAATAAATGGGGATGCTCTGATCTGTGGAGGGCCCTTTCCTCTACACCCTTGCTTTTGATCAGGGTGTGAAGTATGTGTTCCACTGGATACCAGTAGGGTGCAACTGGCATCTGACCTAGCTTGAGTAGCCCTCAAAGAGGGATGTTGGGAACTGTACTTCAATAACATCTAGATAGTCACACGTTTCCCATTCCTGCCCCGATGGTGTGAAAGACATGAGTTAGACCTGAAAGCAGAAATGTATTTCAGATCAAACAGCTTTATTCTTATTCCATTTCAATATGGGTGGAAGTAATGTGTAAGTTAGGCAGATGCGTGTGTCACAATGTGCGTCAAATTGT